GAGGGACAATGCCACTTGTATCTTGGTAACGCCCTGGTGGCCAAGGCAACCGTGGTTCGCCCCCCTGTGCCTACTGTTGAGGGGCAATTTTTATTCGCTTCCCAGACAGGACAGACCTGTTAACATCTCAGAGAGGCCAGGTTTTGTACCCAGAGGTACAAAAACTGAGGCTAACTGCCTGGCGCATCCTGCCTGGCCGCTAGTTCCTTTTTTGAGTCTGTCCCATTCTGTGTTGAACATCATTGAAGCCACCCATAGGGCATCTACGAAATGGTCGTACCTTTACAAGTGGTCCCGTTTTTGCGCTTTCGCAAAAGCAAAAGGGGTGGACCCTGAGGATGCTTCCATTCCCTTGATTCTAGATTTTTGTGTGTGTTGCATCTTTGAAGTGCTATCTAGCCGCGGTCTCCTGGTTTAGGAGGAAATCAGGGCTTCCCTCCTGTTTCTCCGACCATTTAGTTAAGACTTTCCTGAAAGGAATAACCAATATAAAAACCCCTGTAGCTCCTATTGCCCCGTCATGGTGCTTAGAACTTGTGTTGACTTCCATGATGTGGCCCCCGTTCGAACCGTTGGCTACTACAAGCCTCTCCTACCTTTCCTGGAAGACCGCCTTTCTGGTGGCCATAACGTCTTCCAGGAGGGCTAGTGAGTTGTGTGCCCTGAGGGCGGACTTTCCCTACCTCAAGTTTCATAAGGATAAGCCCGTGTTGCGAACGGATATAGCCTTCTTGCCTAAGGTTTCAACTCTTTTTCACATGTCCCAGGATATTGTTTTACCTGCCTTTTTCCAGAACCCTGCCTCACTTTTGGAAAGGAATTTACACCTGCTTGATGTTCGCAGTGCCCTTGCCTTTTACATAGACAGGACAACTCCAATTAGGAAAACCCCTAGATTTTTTGTGAAATATCGCAAAGACACAATGGGCATGCCGTTATCCTCCCAGAGACTCCCCTCTTGGATCGTGTCCACAATTCGTCTTTGTTACCGTCTAGCGGGAAAGGACTTACCTCATCCAATCAAGGGCCATTCAACTAGATCGGTGTCCACTTCGGCCGCTTACCTGAAGGGTGTTCCTTTGGATGCTATTTACCGGGCTGCTATTTGGTCTTCCCCGCTTACCTTTGTGTCCCATTATAAGCTGGACGTCGTCTCCAGGAGGGATGCACAGTTCAGTAGATCAGTCCTTTTTTCTGCGGTGGCATGACGCCCACCATCCAGGGTCAGTAGCTCGCTACCAAATGTGCGATTCACAGTTGACTACGACAGGAAATTATAAGTTGCTTACCTGTAACTATAGTTTTCCGAGTAGTCACCTGTGAATTCGCACATACCCGCCCATCCTCCTCTTGAGTGTCATGCCCTGCCTTCTGGCTGCTTAATAGCGCGGAAAAAAGAGAACTGGTGGCTAGCCCCACCCATGGGCTATATATGCACTCGGGGATGGGTGGGGCTAGGCAGGGGTAAAATCTCTTTTTTCTATATTCCAGAAGGTTCCGAAAGCTGTACTGTGCAGGCGCAGAGATACCAAATGTGAGAATTTACAGGTAACTACTCAGGAAACTATAGTTACAAGTAAGCAACTTATAATTCCCAATAGCTGGCCAGCTCCCCTCAGATGGCCTCCACTGCATTCTGGATATTGTCATGCTTGAGCTGCTCCAGGCAGTCTTCCTCCTGCTGCAGCGCATTCCTGATCTTGGACCCGAAGCCCAGCATGTTGGGGCCGAAGGCCTCCCTTTCCTCCACAGGGACCTTCAGGTGGTTCTAGAGCACCAGAACCATGGAGCTCAGATCTTCACACAGCGCTTCTTTGTGACTTCTCTTGATCTCGAGCTGCTGCAGGAGCTCCTTGAGGGTGGTGATGTTCTCAGTGAAGAGGCAGGTGTCCTCATCCTTGCAGACCACATCTTGCTTGAAGCTGGTCTCGGGACTCTGCTACAGCTCCTCCATGCACAGCATGATCTGCCGCTTTGTTTCAAGGAACTCGGACCAGGGCCGCTCCTATCCAAGCCCACAGATTTCGATAGCTTTGCAAGGACAGATGTGTTAGTTACTTTTGTATATAAACATAATGTTTTTGTTTTCCATAGTATTGTTTTTTCCTTCATTTTTCTCTGTATTCTTAATTTTATATTTTATAAATATATATTTTCCTTTGCATGTTTGAATAAAAATTATTTATAAAAAAATTAACTGAAAGAGAAGAGATCTAATGCATATAACTGAAAAGAATGTGGTTCTGCCTAGTCAGTTGACACACAGGATAAACCCAGTGGTAGTGGATCACTCCTCCTGCCATCCCAAAATGAACCTTCACTGAAATTTGTAGTCAAAATAGTAACTTTCGCAAGGACTGCTCTATTCCAGGATTATTGTGAAGTGGGACAATACAACTAGAGTTCAGACATTATTTTGATCCTCCATCCCAAACAGTTATACACACATTTTTATGTTTCATTTCATCCACATTTCAGAAAGAAGTCAATAACTTTCCTGAGCCCCTGCAAGAAGGTGACTTAAATAGAGCTATTAGATGTCAATGTCACCAAAGCAGACATTTTAAGCATCCGCTAACCTGCCATGCTCTTGGATTCAAAAAGGTTTTCCTGCCCCCTCTTTTGCACTGCAACCTCCCATTCCTACTGCAAAACAGAAAAAGAATTTCTCAGGCCAGGATCTGCTGAATAAGTTAGTTTTTGCCTTTAACTAAAATCAGGCCAGTAAACATTTAAAGACACTTGGTTGTGTTTTTGGAGACAAAAGAAAAAGAGAATTGATAACAATGAACACAAGAGCAAAGTCAAATCTAGACTCCAGAAGATGATCTATAGAATTTCAAAGCAATGCACCTGATATTAAAAAAAAATGGAAAAAATACAAGGGATAAAAAGAAAATTGAAATTGGATCAAGAAGACATGTTATTGTCTTTGAATACTATGAAGAATGAACTGAAATCAGAATTAAGCGATGTGAAACAGTCACTGATTCAAGGGACAATGGAGGTGAAATTCAGAGTGGAACAAATTGATAAGTTGGAGAAGAGATCACATATTCTTGCTAACAAAATAAGGGCTCTAGATGATTGAAGCATTTCTGATAAGGAAAGATACTTGGATTTACTAGTCATGGGTGTGGTATTTGTCTCATTTGTTTATTTTGTACCGTTCATTTGGATGGCATGAAACGGTACAACCCCCCCCCCCCCCCCCCCCCCCGTTCAGAAATATCGGTGAAATGAAAGGTAAGTGGGAATGGTGACTGTTTGGTCGGCTGATTTTTGGCGCTCGGTGCTCTTGGATGTAGGCCGAGCACCTCTTACTCGCGGCTTGGCTGTAAGCCCTGGCACTTTGCTGCCAACTGGATTTTTTTTTTTTTTTGGACCATGGATGAAAAAGCTCATTTGGAAAGGAACCCGTTTTTGGTAGAAGTGCTTGACAACGGGGCCTTACGAATGAAACACACCGAAACCGATAGTGACTGTACAAATGCACAAGACTATTTACTAGCATTCCAAGGTCTCAAAGAGAGAGAATAGTGTCTGAGAATATGAGGTTTACAAGAAGCTCAAGAAGACACGAGGAGAGTGACGATGGGAACGTTATCTGAATATTTGGATATGAAGGACATTGAATTGGAAAAACAGGTGGCAAGAGTTCTCAGAATCACAAATAGAAGAGTTGATCACAGAAAAATGACAAGTAATTGTGATGATTTATTTTGTCAAGAAAAGTTTTAAAGATGAGATTTTACAGAAATATCAAAAAACCAAATGGACATATCATGGAACACAGATTATTACAAAGGAAGACATCCCTTGACATATACTGGCAAAGAGAAGGAATTACTATTTCTTGACAGAGAAGATAAGGAAGAAAAACATCTTATATAGATGGGAGAAATTAGAAGGATTATGTGATGACGTCGACCATTGTTATTTGGCACTTTAGTTCGTGTTTGAAGAAACCCAATGACCCACAGGTATGACTGTGTTTTAGAAATTTAAAAAGAATTAATTTTATCCATCGACGTTGTCCATTTCTTGTATTCAGTAAAATTGTGTATTGTTTTGATTACAAGCAACTCCATTTTACGTGTGGCAATTTGAGTGCTTTGTTAGCTGCCCCAAGTCTCTTCAGGGAGATGGTGGCAGGGTACAAATAAAGTTTTTATTTTTATTATTATTACTTAAGGAACTGGGAAATTTTCAGATGAATAGGCAATTGGGTAGAAACTGTTTCCTCAGGGCATCTGGGAACCCAGATCACTGTACAGGTGTTCTCAAAATGTGACTGCATTGTTGCAACAAAAACAAAATGGCACATTAAAGCCTACTAGAGGTATATGCCTTAATACAAGGTGGATGGGAAATGTATTCCAACAGAGAGCCACAAATCACTCCCTGCAAAGATGAAGAACATATAAACACTTCCAAAACAATAAGGAAACAGGTTTGTGGTGTTGCTTTTTCTCCCAGTATTACTGACCTGCCTTTATTTAGCTGAAAATATCAACTTAAAATCTGCTCCCAGCCATTGTTGTAAGCATGTCTGAGGGAAGTGTATGCATAGAAAAAGAGGTGCAGCATGAGTAAAAACAAGATTGTACATAAAATATTTAAAACAACAGAGCAAGCTTTCAAAAGGACAAGCTATCTCTCATGGAAAAGTACTCTGATTTACTAATCTAATTAGTACAGGAAAACATTACAGATTAGTTCTAGCATTCTTAGATCACAAATATAAATAATGTATTAACTAAAGAAATACAAAATGGCCGAAATGAAACAGTGTCACAATCCTTGACTTTGATACCTCCCCGTTTTAAAGAAATGTTATTGATACATGTTCCTTTCTTTCCTCTTAGATCATAAAAGACAGCTACCATTGTGCATACATTGCACAGGAACTCAGAATAAAGTGAAATGATGGATGTAGGTGAGGAATGGAAATATTGACGGCCCGGCAATTACTGTGAGATAGATGGGCTTTTTTAAAAAAATATGTGAGATTGGTTTTCAAATTTAAGCTTAGTTCTCCAAAAGAGCAGGTGTGTCAGCAAACCTGTATCTAGAAGTATTCCTTTCAATTAACTGGTGGAAGCTCAGATAATGATGTATATACTTAAATAAGATAGAAATAAGGCAGGATACAAATCCTTCACTCAGGAAAGCAATGTGCAAGAAAGATGGGACCCAGCCTAATTTTAAAAGGATATATTTTCTTTTCTGGAAAGAGGTTGAATCCCACATCTAGTGTTTGAAGTTCTATTGCCCAGAAACTGGCCAACTTCCTCATGTGAAGTTTTAGATCTTATGAAATTTCACAGGAAGGCCTTGGATTAAACAAAAGTCCGAACATGCTTTGGATCCTCAAGTCACATTAAAACATTACACTGAACACACAAACCAACACTTTGCTTCAGAGGCTGACACTGACTTCTGCCATCAGTCTCCAGATCCATCATGAATGCCTCTATTGAAGAGGTCGTCTTGGGAACCGTGCTGGTCAATCCCTTCATAATATGAGTTACCGTTATGGAGGAATGTCCCCACAGCACGACCTTGCCGAGCATGTCCCACAGCATCACTGAACACTTTGTTTATCTGTTCTTCAGAAGGCATCCACCAGTCAGGATTGGAAGTGCAGTGCATCCTAATGAATTCTGTGGGAAAATGTGGATTTAACAGATCTGATCCTGGTATACAGAATTGATAGCATTTGCTAACTGGACCAGTGGCATGCTGGTTACATCATGTTTATCAGGTACTTGTCAAGTTTCTGCTTTGGACCTCAACTCCCAGAACTCCCCAGACAGCATGTCCACTAGATTCTGAGAGATTTAGTTCACAACGGATACTATGCCAAACTTGAAAGTGTATATATAAATCTTGACAGGCAATGCTATGACAACTTAGAATATATTTTCTTTGACATATGCACTATGGAGTCATGGAATGCCACTATGTAGGATGATGACCTCCCTCCAACCCCTTTTATGGGATTGCAATATATTTCAAACAAATTTTCAGGCAAATTACATAGGATGGCTGCGCAACTTGGCTTTTCACAAGATTCAAGACATTTTTGATTAGCAAAGTGTTAGTGAGGGGGGAGATGGGGTGCAGGGGATGTCAAGAAACAGCCACGAGTGTCAGGGCAGAAACAGAAGCAACATAAGAGTGTGGGGGAAATGTGTATACTGAAATGAAATAAAGTCCTCCGCATCAAAATTTGAAATTTTTAGTTTGAAAAATTAATACATATTTTAAAAACTTATTTTGCCTAATCTATGCACCACACTCCTATTTTATGCATTGTTTTCTGGCTTTGACACCAGTGGGGTGTTTGATGGGGAGCTTTTAAAGAAGTGGGAACACCTGGCCCAGCCATATTCTAGCATAGCTCTCCTACAACAAGGGATTAGGAGTTGCTGCTTCTTCCTTTTTTAAAGGGCAGGCAAAGTTCTTGGGGGTTTGCTCAGTCTCTGAACTTCTACATGCCTAAAGAATCAGTCAGTAGGCAATAAAGGTAGTGTCAAAAAGACCTCTGGTTCTGAACTGTTTTGACAAAACCGCTTTCATTTTCAGTTTCACTATCTTAATTATGAAACCTATCACCTCACTTTTATTTTTAATTGAAAGCTGGAATGCCCAAAATAAACAAAGGGATCCCATGTTGGAATACAAGGGAATGGGTACCCAACTATTGTGTCCCATGGTGAGTCACTTTGGTTTTGCTGTCTAGGGTCAAGCTGATCATCAACAACTTTAGATTTATATTAAGGGCTTTGGGGAAAAGTTGCCACCACAAAATCTTCATTCCCTGTCTCCCAGGGGGAATAACTCATTATTATTATTATTATCTAAAAAAAAATAAACAAACTTCCAAAACAAACCATTTATACTGGAGTGGCTGAGAACCCTTCCAATACTTAGTGCAATAGACCTCTCAGGTAAATTTATAGTGACTTGTTTTTATTTTTTTTTAAATCCAGATGTAATCAACCTACTGGACAGTCACTGTCCCAGGAGGGAAGTTTCTAGGCCTTCTTTGGGAAGGAGGAGGGGATGGTTCTGATCTAGCCCAAAGAAAATTTAAGAAATGGGAATGTATTTTCTTGTTTACAGTGTGTAATGTGAAGGCCCAATGCTATGTAAAATGGAAACATTTGCCCAGTCTGCATATATCTTTTCCTATCTAATAATGGAAACTTTGGGCAAAAGTTGATTCTGCACGTCACTATCGTTGGAATGAGACAAACAAGCAAGCACATATGGGTCTGGATAGCTGGAGTTGCTTCAACAGAAATTAGCATTGGAAAATAATAGGCATGTAACTGAACTTGCGTTCAACTTTTAAATCCTTTAGTTCCAGATTAACTTTGTTTGGCTTGTGGTGAGTGCTAGAGCTTGCAAGCTATGTTTCATACAAACAGAGTTCTATAATTTCTCTTTAGGCATCAAGACCTTTTTTTTTTCTCCTGCAATGTTTGGGAGTAAATTTGAATATTTTTCAGTGTAACAGAAGCTGGGGCAACAGAAGGATCCTAAAGCAGGCAATGTTTGATAAATTGCTAGTTATTTTAGTCTTTCAGGTAAATTATAGATGGCTAAGATTGCAGATCATTTTTAAAGGCTCCACTAAAAGAAAATCTGCCTCCAAACAAAAAGCAGTTTGTAACAACAGGAAGAAAGTAATCCCATACTGTTGAGGATCACATGCATTTTAATACTGAACATCTGCATGTCACACTTAACAGTGATGCTGAATGACTGTCTCCATGCAGAAATGGGTAAGTATCTGCATGAAGAACCAGATCTCCATGTATGGGTCAACACAGATACACCTGGAGTAGTATTTGCCACTGCATCCCAATTAATCATTCCTGCACTAATCAGATGCATCTCCTGAGGCAGAGATGGAGATCCATCCCATTAGAGCCCAAACTAGGCTCTGCATATTTATGACCCTGGACAAGCTGCCTTTGGCACCCCAGTACTCACACAACAGCCTCCAGTGCTTGGCTTCTGACTTAGAAAAGATCAGGCCCAGATTTTCTCTCACACAGCCCCTTCCCCACCCAGGTGCAGAGACAATGCCCTTGGGTGTGGAAAAGAACTATAACTTGGTAACGTTGCCTTCAATTCAACATCCTCTCAGTGTAGTGTATATAACTAAATGTAGATCTGCCCTAAGCTGAAATAAATATTTCCTCCCCATGCCTCCAACTTACTGTAAAGCCTCAAAGCTGCCTCAGATGTCTATTCTGTGCTTCATGATAAGCCAGCAGGATTGAAAAAGATCTAGCTATTGCCCTCCCCCAAAAGATCAGACACAATAGAGACATCAGCACTTAGATCTGTGGAGGTCCTTCAGGAATCAGTTCATTTCTGTAATAATTATATATATGGATGGTGTGTGTGTGTGCTGAAGGATTAATATGTCCAGCCTGCTCCTGCCAGTGGACTTTGGCATGATCAATAGTTGTTACATGTCCAGATAGGAGCCATTGCTTCTGCTCCTTGCAGCATAGCTTTCTGGTGGTAGGACAGATGTGTCATCTGTCAGCTTACCAGCGATGAGGAACTTTGGCTCTCAGGGCAATTGGCTAGATTTTTAATTGGGTTTTCAGGGGTCATATCATAGATGCAGCATAGCCATGACATCATGGCTGTGTGTTTGATGCAAGATCCTGGTCATTCTCTGGACTGCAAGTTCCAGAATTACCACCCAGCATGGTATATGGGATCTAGAGCATATTATTTCAAAGACCCTTCCACTGGGAAGTCACACACTATATCAGATGCTCCAGAATTAGTTGACAATCTGGGATTCTGGGCATTATAAGCCCTAAGTTAACTTCTCCAAGCTCTGTACTTGTTCTTATCATTATGCCCAAATACTACAGCCAGTTTTGGCCTACTGTGCTTTATATTATAAATCCATGCTCTTGCATTTTTCCTGGGAATCATGCTGGATTACAACTTCTAGCATTCTGCATACATTAGCTAGAATATTAGAATTTGTAACCCAACAATCTCTAAAAGGCTGGATGATTTCCACCCCTCCTTTGGCTGTTGGAAATAGCTGCAAGAGGGGAAATATCTAAATTTTTAGTCTTTTTAAAATTATTGGCTGTTTCACACATCCTCAGCATTGTGAATTTTGCAAGATTTATAAATCACACAGACAAACTAAACTGCAAGCACTATAGCCATAATCAAGAGATTTGGGGGGAGGCATTTTTCCTCCCTGTGTCCATCCAACAGGATTCACCAGTTAGTTTCAGTGCACCCTAAGTGATGTAATGTCAATTTCTGGATTTTATTTTGTTTTATTAGGGGACAATTTTTCCTCTTCTTTGGTGTTTTTTGGAAGGAGGGATCTGTAGTGTTAGGGAAAAATGCTGCATTTTAGGAAGTTTGGGCCTGCTTGGGGACAAGAAAGCACCCGAGAACTGTCTCCCAGTTGAATTTTGATGTTGAAGCTGAAGGCTGAAGAGATTTCCTGGGGGTTCCCAAAGACCATACTTAAGGGTTGGAAGGGTTGCATATGGCCTTTGGGTGCATTTTGCCCACCCCAAGTTAAAAGATACATAAGGATGTGTCCTTATCCAGCACTGGGCTTGTATGTGAAGAAAGTAATCTCTGCAGGTATGGCTAAAACTTCCTTGAGTCCCATGCTGTTCTTTCCCAAGGACAGATCTTGCTTAAAGCATCTCTTGGTGGAGATTATAGTTCTATAGCTCAAACCCAAACTTAGTCAAATTTGAAGCAGAATGAATGAATTTTCACTTAGTCATAGCTTCATTCAGTCCTTGTGATTTCAATACATGGGGATTCATCTCTTGACTAGCTGACTGCAATGATGGCAGGATTGGGGCCATAAGACACAGCAATATATGTGAACATATTGCTGGTTCCAATACATTAAGAATTGCCTTTCAAGTAATTCCAACAGTTATTTGTTTCTGAAATAAAACTACAACAATCAAGACAAAATTTGATTCAACTAATTTTCAAAAATTCTAGGCAGTGAATTTTTCATTCACTGCCTAGAATTTTTGAAACAGAATCCTCTTCCTTCCCCTACCTAATTTGTAAACTATCAGAATATTAACCAGATTGAAACAATCTTCCAGCTCAGTTTTATGTAATCTGCCACAAGTTTTGGTTGCTTAAATAGGGGAAGTTGTAATAAACCAAAATGGATTATCCGCAGCTGAGCAGTGAAAGTTGGGGACCCTGCTGAGTGGGTGGGACAGTGACTCTGCACTATTTTCCTCCGCGGTTCAAAAGGAGCTGTCCGTAAGACTGAACGTGTAGGAGGGAGTAGGCCTCCACCTCTGGTATGGCTCCTTTAAAGTTTAAGCTAAAACCCAGAGCAGATTTTCCATCACACCTATATTGCAGTTCCAGGACCACACTGTCAGTAGGATACATTTCCTTCCCCATAATCTCTTAATTGTGCCTGGTTGCTAGAATGGAGAATGGAATAGGAAATAATGAAGATGATCTCCCTCATTTACTAGGATCTGTCTTATATCAATTGTGCTGTAAATTAGTGAAAGAAGCATCAATTCTCTACAATCAGTTTCTTTGTTAAAGTTTGCATTACATTAAATAATTTCTGTAAACTCTTATTTATTAACTTTCCCACAAAGGAATAGCAAACTATAGTAGGTTATTATGGGACAAGTTCCAGGGTACACGCCCAGTGCACTGCACAGCCACTTGCCAGTCCAAGGAAATGCCACTTTTCCTAATAAACAACCTCATATGCATCCCAGTTGAAAACCCTCTCTAAAGATGCAGATGGCAAGGGAAAACTAATAGTGATGAGCAAGTCATAGTTCAGAGAAACCTTTCCGCTATTAATGGTTTCCTTGCTGTGGAACCTCAAAGTCCTTAGAACACAGAGCTAGAAAACCACTAGAGAAATAGATGACATGCCTGTTGATTAATGAAACGATCTTGTCTCTATCTAAGAGCTGAATGCAAGACTCATGATCACTCACATCTACAAAGAAGCTCCCCCTTCCCTCTACCTGACAGGCTGCTAAATATTCTTGCATTAAGCCAGTGCCAATGTGGTGAAATGAGATTGCATATGGTGGACACCGAGTGAAAAGATGCAGTACCTCTGAGACATGTTACTTTCACTGGATCCAGAGGACGTCTTTCAGGACCAGTGTCTCCTGACTGCACTGACCTTTTCCTTTTTCCAAGGCCGCACGAGTACTTAAGCTCATCAGTGGTGAAGACAAATCTGATGAGGTACCGAAGGAGCCGGCGCCCATCTTTCTTTGAGGAGTTTACAGCCTCGTCCCATTGTTTGCTAGTGATGTAGACGGGGTAGTTGGTCAGCAACTGTTTGCTCCCCTGAAAATAAGGGAAATAAAATGGTTCCCCAGGTCAGAAGGCTGTATGACAAGAGACGATGAAGTCAGCTGTCACATAAAATTACAATTAGGCAGCTGCGAAGTGCTGACAATGAACACAGACATTGATGGAAATAAGGAACTAGTCATCTTGAAAGTGTGTGGTTTTCTTCAAACAAAATTACATTTGCATTTTCTGTAATAAGAACTTGTGAGGTATAATGAACACCTTGAAAGAGAAAGAAGCTATTTATAACATACTTTCGCAGGTAGGTTAAAAAGTGTCAAGATCCAGTGATTGGAAAAGCTATTTAAATATAATCGTCTCTCTTAATCTATTAAAATGTGTAAAAATGTCTTTTGAAGAGTGTGATCAAACAGGCCTTTTCCTGGCAGCTGGCAGATCGCTACTTCAGAAGCTTTTTTAAAAAAATAAATCTATTTTACATAATTAATGTATTACCTTTTGTTTAACACACTTAGAACCTGACAGCAGTTATGTTGTGAGGGGAGAAACTCTCAAGCAAGTCAACAAAGTTGAAACTGTAAGATCCAAAACAGCATTACTATTAATGAACTTCGTATGAATGCAAATAGAAGCTTTGAGCAAATGAGGCCTGCCCAGGAAGATTCCTCTCACAGGCTCCCTTGACTGATATTTCCCTAGTGTGCACAGCAATTGGAAGGTAAAAAAGGAAGCTCAGGCTATGTGCTCACCTTTTATAGCATACATATATATGCTAGACTATTCTACCTGCCACCTGCCCAGACTGAACTGCATGGGATTGGACATCACTCTAGCGGAAGGAGGTAAAGGTTTTACACTGCTTCTCCAAATTAGGATTGATACAGAAGAGGGATTAACTCTTTCCCCAATCCCATGTGGGTCCTTTTGTTCCCAAAGATTTTCTTTCAGGGAAGACTAGCATATTCTGTGTGAGGTCTCTCTGTGTCTGTATGTACAATCCTTATGGTGAGGAAATACCAAAATACCAAAATGAAATACCAAGAGATAGCTTATGGAAGGAGTTCACAATTACGAACGCATGACTTAAGAGTTCAGCATTCGTATTCACAATATCTATGTAGCCAATAAGCTAGAGCAGAGCTTTCCAAACTGTGTGCCACAACACATTAGTGTGTTGGCTCCAATGTGTAGGTGTAACAAGAAACCTCTAGGTAGAGGAAATAATCAATCATATATTTCTTAAAATATAAATGAGAGGTTTTCATGAGACATGTCCCCACACATTTCATTATTAGAGTTTAGGAAGGTGTCCATGTCTCTTAAAAGGGATTGGTTTAACCTCTGGTTTGCTAGTAAAACTTAATTGTTGTGTCACAAAATGAGGCATGTCTAAAAGTTGTGTCACCAACATGAAATGTTTGGAAAAGTCTGACCGAGATCATAGGTAGGGATCATAAAATCCCCCAGCCCTGATATATTGGGCAGTAGCCACGGTCAGTGACGAGCAGACTGACCTTTCTCCTTTCCTTCCCCGAGTGGTCTCTGGTATGGAAGTCCAAAGCAGGATCACTGTTGCAATTCCTCTTTGCACCAGAGATCACTTTTGGGAGAGGGGTGGAAGCGTCATTCAGCTTTACCCCCAATTGTTAGGAAAACAGATCCCTGAGCTGCTGCCCAATAAATCAGGACTGGGGTGGGATCAGGTAAAGAGGCACTACTTAGTTAAGTGTACTTAAGCCTCGAATTTTGGCTATCATGCTTAAGTGCATTCTCAGCTAAATTAAAAAAGGGGGAAGCCCGAAAGGCTGTTAGATTTTTTAGACATCATCTTCCACAATCCCACCTCACTGGCTATCCTCGCAGTGTTGTTGGGCCACTATTGTCCATGAACACCCATCTTAGAAGGTATCTTAGAAAGGAATCCAGAAAAATTAGAATGCATTCATAATCTTCCTGTCTGAAAGAACATGTGTGCTCTTTTTGAAATTAGAGCAGGAAATATGCAGGTACATCTTTGCACAATGATCTCCTTGTGAATAACACAGCTTAACATGTGACAGAACACATCCCTACAGTCCATCAATGACCAAGAAAAAGGAACAGCTATCAGCCACCCAGCCTAGCCAGAAAAAGAAACAGTTGTCATAATCCTTCTGGACATCAATGTCTAGGAAGGCATTGACTGTTTTTGCTTTTTTGCTTTTTTCAAGCTGCACTGCACAGCTGGCACAATGGAATTACAATGGTGGAGATTTGAACTCCAAGCAGCACTCAGAAAGGATCCCTCGGTCATTTTCATCCAGCACGTATTGCCTTTCCCCCCGGTACTCATGTGCTCACTGAAGCATCCAATCGAAAGGCACTTCTCATCATCCTCCTTCTCCTCATCATCCACACTACCTCTGCAGGCTGCTCCACTGGCTGTGGAATCATGAGCTGGTTATGATGTTGAAGCACCATCTTCAAGTAATCTAAAACAGTCTGGCAGGGCACTGTAGGGAAGACAAAACACATGACTGTACACATGCTGCTTATTATTGAAAGCAGAAGTTCTTAGCAAGCTAAACCTTCTTTTCAGAAAGAATAAATCTGCAGAAATTAGGCCATCTCCCTCCTTTCCTTCCTCTCTCTGTTGGCCTTAACAGATCTTGGGTGAAGATGCCCAAAGCTGAGCAGTCTCACTCTCCTTCCCAGGATTTTTGAAAAATCAGAAACATTTTCCTTGGAAGATGCAAGAGATATTTAAAAGCACATGCATTACTGGGATGGGAAGGAAAAGACAAGAGAACACAGCCTTCCCCTTTAAAAGAGGTGACGGGAATGACACAGATCTGGGTCAAGCCTAGGGTTGTAGCTGGCATACCTTGCAGCTGTGTACCATGTATTGAGCATTACTCAATGGCACCCACTCACTGGCATGAGTACTGCAATGTTGCTATTCTGAATAGAGTTTGTGCAGTGCTGGTGTAGTATCTGTTCGAATGCTGTTAGCCATGCAATACTAAGAGGAGGTGGATTAACGTATGTCTGATTTTGATTGTCTAGAACTTATTTCAATTCCTATGCCACCATCCCAAACTAACTACCTCTCAACAGTTCTTGATAACAACAAAACTACAATGTTATTTTTTTAAATGGAAATACCAGGCATATGAGTGTAAAAGTTTTCTCCTGAGCTGCAAACCCCCTTCCCAACTATCACTGGCACCAAGGGCAGAATTATTTTTATCAAGATAGCACCTGAGGAGGGAAATTCACTTTCTCCTCTCTGTACATTATAGTGCTGAGCACAGTCTCTCCTTGCAGGCTATTTCACTTTTTAAAACCCACCACCTGATTGCTAGCCACCATAAGATTCATCCGGCAGAATGTGGAATGAGGGCAAAGTCACATAAGCTCGAAAGATCCTTCAACTACTAAAAATGCAGCAGACTGGCAAGGTGCTAGGTTTGCGTGGGTTATGGCCCCTGCCAAGTACTACCTGTTAGACTGGGTGAGTAGTCCTCCAAGACAGCACATTCCTTTCTGCTACCAGGAGGAGCACTGAACTACTGAGAATAAGTACATAGGAGACAAACCGTCTGCATCATTGCCAAAGCAACTGGTGGGAACACAATCACAATACAGAACAACTCTTCAATGCAGGAATAGGAAGAAGACAGGAGAGAAAATTGAAGCGGATGTAGAGGGTTGCTGGGATGCGGCACTACTGGGATTCAAATCCCTGGAAAATGTTAGGAGAATATGGAGGAACATCGTTCCACTGAACTAGTTACCAAATATTATTATAGGTAACAATACCTTTCTTTTGGCAACCTGTGGGCACTAAGCTTCTAACTCAAGGGATAAGAAGTTACAGCAACACTACAGGCAAATAATACAGACCAACAAATTTGTTGTGGCTCAATCTTTTGTTGGTTATTTAATTCATTTAATCAAATGTAGTGAAATGTCTATTTTGGGAGAACTTATGTCTGACATCCTTCAGCTGACATGTTCAAAGATGATGAATGCGACTTCTATAATTCCCAGATAAAAAAGCAGCTAGGGGCAGGAAAAGGTAGGCTGGCCTATTTGTTAATGAAGATGTGAGGGAAAACCAACCTGTACTGGAATGTAAGACAAAGGTCCTCAAACTTTTTAAGCAGAGTCCCTCAGACTACTGGGAAGCCTGACTGTACAGTAGTTTGAAAAAAGCATGAACCAATTCCTATGCACAATACACATAACTTATTTGTAATGCAAAATAAAATAAAATAAAAAACCCATGGAAGAACAATACAAAATGACGAACAATTTTAGGCAATATAAATTTAGCAGTATTTCAATTGGAAGATTTTTTTTTTTGGCAGCTGAGACAGTCGAGTTAATTAGGATTGTGGTTGCTGTGTGTCTTCAAGTCATTTCAAACCCTGGGAGACTGTGGGAGCTATAGTCTAAAGAAGGAGTATTTCCAAATGACTTTAATGTTACACATTTCACATGGTGGCCTTGACCTTTTAATATACTTGTCTCAACCAAAGTCCCATTTTGGTTAACGGCATTGTATTTATTTATTTTATTTCATCTGTATTTATTTAAATTTTGCCTTTTCCCCCATATGATGCCCAAGGCAGTAGATGGTAATCACTAGGTCTTACATTTCATGTACCTACAGTTTCTCCTGCCTATATGAGATTACCTGGAATGCTCTCCATTTTTCGTCGGAGTTCTTCGTTTTCTTGTTGCAATGAAATTACCTCCTGCTCCAGCTCCTGACATCGTGGACAGTAACCTTCCTCTTCCTCCTCTTCCTCCTCAGGAAGTGTAGATGATGATGGGTGACCATGAGATTCAGATGTCGCTGGGGATGTCCATCCACCTAAAGTGTGCACTGGAGAGGTTGAAAGTGGATCCACATCTCCCAAATGTCCAAAATCACTCATGGAGGAAGTGTTCTGAGATGGAAAACTTCCAGAAAGCAAGTAGTTTTGAAGAGAGTCAGTAAATACTCGCAGAAAAGCAGAGGTTTGCTGCTTCTTGTGCATGTACTGCAAATCTAGATCTAAGTTGTCTGATGTCTGACTATGGACCATTTTCCCAAGCTGGCACTGCTCTGGTCTTTCATTAAAGCTCATGCTCTCTTGTTTTACACAGGACGCCAGTGCTTGAGAGCGATTGTTGTCCAGAAGTTTTCCACCACAGTTTAAAAGACTAAGAACTCGACTGCACTGCTGGGCAAAGGCATCCAGAATCATACGGCTCTCTGAAACAGAAGAAGAGATGAATCACAGAAACTCATAACAGACCAGTCACCAGTCATAATATTGAACTAGGCAGTGGGCATGAGAAATGGATTGTATCTAAACACACAAGTACATTCTTTAATAAGAAAAATAAAAACACTGTGACATATTACTATTCTTGTATTAATGGCCAGGGCTTGTGAAAAATACAGTCCAGCAACATCTGGGGGGGGGGGGGGGCAATTTTGGAAGCCACTGCTCCTGGCCCATGTAGAAACTACTCCTTTATTAGTAATATTACTTCACCTATACAGTTTGGAGAAAGTGTGGTTGTAAATCATCTGAAGGGTTTCACCTGTAAATCCCTGCTTAAATTAGGGTTAGACAATGTGAAACCCTTCAGATGATTTACAACCACACTTTCGGAACTCCTTACCATTGTATTTACGTTGGCTAGAGCTGATGACAACTGCAGGCCCATTGCTCCCCCCAATCTGATTTGAATGATGTAGCCATGGGAATGGGTCCAGCTGCATGGGTCTTCTGGGAGGCTGGGCAAATATTCACAACCCACTCAATAAAGTCAACAAGGTGCAGTGTGGACAGAAGGCTTGGGTTTAAACCTCTATTTCTGCCCTGAAGCTGAACTAGCAGCTGGGAGTGTGCTCTTAATGACAAAGCAGTGCATGGATGCAAGACATTAAGTACAACTCGCCCCATTAGTAAGTGGTTCTCTTCCCCCATATAAGGCACCTCTGCTCAAAGAAGGCTTGCTCTGATTTAGTTTACTGATCTCCTGACACTCTTGCTGGTTACAGTATAGTTAAAACACATGGTCACTGTAAACATTCTATAAAATACACATATTAAAATGTATTATAAAAGAGTAAATAGTTGGGTTTTAGGGACATTTGCAGCCGTAGCAGTAGTGCCACAGTTGCAATTGAGAATATGAAGCATTTACCATGTCCAAAGCATGGCATCATAACCATGTCTGGCATCTTAACTGACAAACAAGATTCCAGGCTACACTTAAAGACCCCTATTGACTGTTAAAAACATGCCCAGTAGATGAAACTGCAAGAGAGACATCCTTTGTCACAGTGATATGCCCACCGGGAACATAGAAGGAATGCCTTCAATATTGTGCCTTGGAAAATAAATGGCTATTGGGATCTTATGAAGTGAATGGAATAGTTAATGAAATAATGCAAGTTTTTCTACTGAAATGTTTGGATCAGGTAGTCTCTACCTGGAGTGAGGGAAAATGGCTTAAAAAGCAAGGTATCTGAAGTTCCTATTCAGATATGTTAGGTCTGATGCATTCTTGAGCATTACCATAATGTCATGGGAAAATCCAAGACAACAAGTAGTACAGACAAATGGGATATTTTTGCTAATGTTTGAAAGACAGCTTTTTTGTATTTGCAAATAATGACTCTTTCCTACATAGGTCACCTACAGAGTTGGTAACATTTTGAGAAAATGTTTTTGAGCCTTGAGTATCAGAAGAAATTGACACAAGTCTCAGCATCTGGATGGCAAATATACTTGCTGTAAAATCAATTCATATATCCAAAAAATTGCACAACTTCTTGTTCTACTCAGTTAATTATTAGTTTTGCTTTGCTACTTGATTGTATACCTGGACCTTTTCAATAAATTAAAGGAAACAAACATTCTCAGCCCAACACAGAGATGCTGGGATACATCTCCCACATCATATATTCCAAGGATGATACTGCAATTTCCTTCAAGATATTACAAGAAAAGTCTGCAGTGCATCTTCCCGTCTCTGCTTTGTTTTACTAGCACCTGTTCTTGGTATACTGTTCAGTCAGATAACTAATGTCCACAAGATAAAAGACAGATAGGCCCGACCACATTACATAGAAGCAACCTGCTATAGGAGCCACAGTTCTAAACACACCATTGCTTACATTCTGATTAGGTGATAAAAGAATCATGAAAGTTTAAATAGCAGCGGAAGCCTCAATATAAGGTTGCCTTCCCTCATTATTCACTCATTCCATTTCTCTTTTGAAAAATATCAAAGGAAGATATTGATTGGAACTTTGTAATTCAAATACACAGCAGTTTTTCATTCGTTTTAATCCTCTAATCAGATTCTAGACCCAAAGCTGTATTTACTGTGCGCATTTTAATCAGGATGATCCAAAGTTTTCAGAAGTTCCCCTCTTTTTGTATTCTTTTGCCACCTCCCCTACTGACAAGTGAGATATGAAGGAAGACCTGAAATGGTATTGAACATTGTGTTAAGCATTATCATTTTCCCAGGGTGACAGGAATGATCCACTTCTGACGCCATAAATTTAAATAGCTTACTACATTTTAAAATCAGGAGAAGACAAAATTAGCATGAAGATATTGCCATACTGACTCCTTTCTTCTTTTACCAGGCAAGGATGTTGTTACCCAGGACTGACGCAGTCTGGCGTATGCCATATCAGCCCTGGGATTGTTTATAGAATGACCTTCCTGTCTTCTGCAGACAAATAACCTTGCCATTCTCTTCCATTCTCCATGTCGCACCAGTTCTGCAGCACAGTCCTGCCAGTTGGCTGGGGCAACGAGGGAGGGGAAAAGTGAAGGACTACCTCTACTCTCCCCCTCCCTTCCCCAATCACTCTATCTCCTCAGTCATTGCAGGGAAAGGCTGACTGGCAGGACCCACATCGCATTTAGAGGCTGCTGCAACATGGAGAACACCTTAGGATGTTAAGTGACACCCAGTGATTCATAGCTTGGCAGTTTAAACAGGTGTTGCCAGTTTGGTCTCAGTACTGGCCAAACAGTTCACATGGGCCCAAAGCTGTGGATTTCTTCAATTATGGGCCATAATTCAGGGTTTACCCTTCCTTAGCTGCTATGGAGCTGATCTAGATCTCCTTCACGTTAAGTGGTCAGTGTAGATGTGCCCAATCAAATGGACTGCGACAAATTTCTCATAAATTAAAAGAGGACAGTTACAAACAATACATGATTTGTCCAACAAAGAGCTTAAATTGTTGGAAGCCTTTAGAACAGGCATCCTCAAATTGTGGCCCTCCAGCTGTTTGGGTCTTCAACTCGCAGAAATCCAGACAATTGAACAAGCTTCTTTGGGCCTCAACTCCCAGAAGCCCTAACAGCTGGAGGGCCGCAGTTTGAGGACGTCTGCTTTAAAATGGCATGCATAGGTACACATTACCAAATGTTAATCCTCCGGTTGTTTTGGATTTCAACTCCAAGTTTTGCCAATAGTCAGGAATGCTGGGAGCCGAAGTCCAAAACATCTGAAAGACCAACATGTGGGAAGCACTGGTATGGAGGCTTGAGAGGACAATAAGAGGTCATTGTAAGTCATTGAAAAATGGCAAGACTTTAAAAAGAATATGAGAAACCTTTGACCCTCCAGACATCTAGAACCACAGGTCTCATCAAACCTTTACCAGAGGCAATGTTGTTCAGGGCCTATGGAACTTGAAGTCAAAAACATCAGAAAGGTAAAACTTTTCAACCCTTGTTAAATACAAGCAGCTTGGTAAATTTAATGAACACTCTTGTTATCCTGGAGGACTGCTAGCAGCATGTATGAACAAAGGGAACAAAGTGGAACTAGAACAGGCTCCCATAGCTTCAGAAGTGTTATGTATACTGAACGTGGGCCAAAATTATGGGGAGGCACTGTGTGGGGGGATCCAAAAGGCTGCACTGAACCTCTGATCACATCTGTCCTGCAAAAGGCACAGTTCCTACCCCTTATTTAGGCCACAATTCTACAAGTTGCAGGCAAAGAATCTTTCCTGCCCTATCTGGAGAGCAGAGGGAATCTTTGCACACAGAGCATGTACCACTGAGCTACGTCTCTTCCCTTGGAGCTCTGTTTCTTCCCTTTGCCTCTAGGCAAGGACACTTTTCAAAGTTGGATGAAATTGTACTTCTATCTTCTCTCACAGGGGAGGTAGCTTTTCTTTTGCTTTTTTAATTTTAAACTTCTCCCATTACCAATAGTCCATGCCTTATAGACATAATACTCATATTTCTCTTCCCCCTCCGACCCCCCCATAATCTTAATTAATAAGCCTATATATGTGTGCGTGTATATATCTCTCTATATATCTATATATCTATATCTATCTATATCTATATAGTTAGTTAATAAGCCTATATATAGCTGTCTATCACTATAGGTCTAAATCACCTTCAAATGGGTTGCACATTGTTCTTAATATTTAAAATACTATGTTTGGTCAGACGGTAATTTAAATACAGAAATCACAAAAGTAACATAAATAATAAAGGTCTTCTAAATTTTTTCAAAGTTTCCTCATCGATTTCCTCTTGCCAACATTTTATGTGTTCGTTTTTCTGATAGTGCTAACGCCAGCACCCTGTTTATTGACTTCTGTTCCAAAAGACCTTCTAACTTTTACCATGCTTTCACAATTTCTAATCTCTCAACATTTAACATACGGTACAAGGTTTTCCTACTTATATTAGTGTACACCCATGGGAAGACAGGCTGGTGTGTTTGCATTTGTTTCATGGGCTAGTAAGTTTTGAAGATTTAGTTGCAGGCCTGATTAAAAAAAACACTAAATATTATTATTAAAGGATAGGATTCAATAACTTCATTTACTGTCATGCAGAAGAGATATGTAACAATACAGGAGGAGGTCAGTCAATATATCCATTACATCTATGAGCTTTCAGGCCTGGTTCAACGGATACTTCACTTTTCATCTCCTTTTATGTGATAGGGAAAAGTCAGAATGGGGCAGTTTTAAGAGAGTTGGAGGAGGACTTTGTTGTGGCTCAGCTGGAGCCTCAGGAAGAGCAGGAAGCGGATGATGGGTTTCAGATTCTTGAACATGTTCCTATTGTTGATACAGATGCTGAAGACGAGGAGTTCTGGTTTCCCATGGGAAGGGATGTTGTCTTAGAAGATGTTTCTGATCTTAGTAAAACTTCACAGGTGCAAGTGGAAGAGTCGAGCCAGCCTGAGAGCGCTCTGTCT